ACACACACACACACACACACACACACACACACACACACACACACACAAAGGACTTAAATGAGACAGACCACTCTAAGCTGATCCGTCTGCTTGGAAGCTTCTTTCGGGAACTTTAAGTAGACTGGGTCACCTTATTTTTGGCACTAAGAGCAAGGAGAGATATGTTCCACGACAGACAGACAGACAGACAGACCCCTCCTCCGCCACAGATGCTCTCATCCTGAGCCCAACCTACTTCGCAAGGTTGTTGTCATGGAGAAAAAGGATATGTGCGCACCGAGGGAAAAATACAGGTTATAATATCAAATCAACGAAGATCTGGAGATGCCATTCATTCAGAGTAGGAATGAAAAGAGGGGTTTTTATTCCCCAGGTGGTCAAACATGAGATTTTTATTGGGGGGGGATAGGAAGAAAAGATCTTGGTACTAGTTTGAATCCCAAAGAGATCTAATTAAGCCAAGATCTAATTGAGGCATTGAAGTGCTCTTGGACATGCCTGCGCTGCTTTTCTTTTGATCTTTCTTTGAGAAACAAAATCACCGGGGCCTTTTTCCAAGGCAAGAGGGAGGCTCAACCCCATTATTAATTTTATCCCACTTTTTAAAAACTAGTTGGTCAAAGTAAGGGGCGTGCGTAAGCGCACAATCGTGCCTACCGTCCCTGTCCTATTGTCCCCAATTATTAGTTCCGATTTCTTATATTTAAACTTATGTTTATTCTTATTTCTATTGTATTGTAAGCTTTTGGCAAAATAAATAAATAAAATAAACTCAAGGCGGAGAACATATTCCTCCATATTCCTTCCTTCTGTTTTCACCAGGTGTGTTTCCATCTGTACGACTTTGCTTTCCTTACAGTCCTTAATTCTGTACCACCTCTACCTTTCTAATAAAGCAAGCTAAAAATCCCCAAAAAGATACTCCTGAGCATGCACAGAGTGCCCACCTCTCTCCCTTCCTTGGAGAGAAGAGGCCAAGAGAGAGAGGGAGGACCCCAAAGGCTTTTGAAGTCATGAGGCCTTTTATAGAACAGCAACCCCCTGTCCTCCAAAAAACAGGGCTCCTGAGCATGCACAGAGTGCTCCCTGTCTCCCTCCCTTGGAGGGAAAAATCCCCCAACCTCCCTTCTAAAGAGAAAAAGAGAACCCCGAAAGCTGTTGACGTCGGCTGAGACCCCACCCGTGGCCTTTTAAACACAAGGACCCTCCTCATCCTCCCCAAGAGGGGGCTCCTGAGCATGCACAGAGCGCTCCCCCGTCTTCCCTTCCTCGGAGGGAAAAGTCCCAAGAGAGAGAACCCCAAAAGCGTTTGAAGTCGGCTGAGACCCCCCCCCCCACCGGTGGCCTTTTAAACCCAGGCAACCCCCTCGTCCTCCCCAAGACAGGGCTCCTGAGCATGCACAGAGCGCTTTCTCCTGCTCTCTGACCTTGGAGAGGAGTCGTTGGGCTTCTACCAGGTGGGAGGGAGGGTTGGGGCGAAAGAGGGGCAGGAGCCTTTTTTTTTTTTTTGAGGAGGGGAGGTCGAGAGGTGGACAGGTGGGCTCCATCCCCCCACGCCTACCTGGTGGCGGCCGGTCGAGGCGCCGCGCTCCGGCTGCCCCTGGGCATGGCGAGGTCGGTGGCTGCTGCGGTTGCACCGGCTTCGCTCCGGCAGCCGCTGCGAAAGAGACGCCCGGAATCTCCTTGAAACTCGCTGTGACGCAATCGCGTTCTGGAACACCCCCCCTCCCACGTGGTTCAAAGAAGGGGGCCGGAGTGGGTCTTTTGCGCAGGCGCAAGCCAGGGTACTCCTTTTTTTTTTCTCCCTCCCGCACCCTTCCCGACTGCAGAGAGCTAGGAAAAGGTTAGAGCGACCAAACGACCTCTCACGGGACTCTTTTCAAAGTGGAGAATACCATCCATCCTTTGGGACGTTTCCTCTCTTTAACTTTTTTTTTAAAAAAAAAACACATCTCCACTAAAATTTTGCAATAGAATAAAAGAGAGAAGCCAAGAGAAAAGAAGGGGAAAGGAGGATAAAAAAGGAGGAAAATGGGAGGGAGGAAAAATGGAAGGAAAATGGGAGGGAAGAAAGAAAATTGGAGGAAGGAATATTGGAGAGGGAGAGAGAAAAGAATCAAAGGAAGGAAAAATGGAAAGAAAATGGGAGGGAAGAGAGGAAAGAAAGAAAATTGGAGGAAGGAAAGAAAATGGAAGGAAAAAAAGTATCAAAGGAAGGAAGGAAAATTGAAGAAGAAAATTTGAGGGAGAAAGAAAATGGGAGGAAAGAAAATTTGAGGGAGAAAAGAATCAAAGGACGGAAAAAATGGAAGGAAATAGGAGGAAAAAAGAAATTTAAAAAGCGGAGACACAGAATTTTGACTCCCTACTTCTGAGGAACTGAGAAGTGCCCACTCTTCGCTATTTGTGTATCTGTGGCTCCTTTTGCACTTTCAGGCCTGAGGCCTAAGCACAAAACTGCCGTTTAATGGGGCCTTGAACACAGTTGCTGCACTTTGGAGGGAAAGAACTGACTCAGCCTTCCAAGATTTGAGGGGCTCCTCCAAAAATGAAGGGGTCAAGCTATTGTCCAAAGCAACTGAAGGCCGGACAAGAAGCAGCGGATGGAAACTAATCAAGGAGAGAAGCAACTTAGAACTAAGGAGAAATTTTCTGACAGTCAAAACAATCAGTGGAACAACTTGCCTCCAGAAGTTGTGAATGCTCCAACACTGGAAGGTTTTAAGATGAGATTGGACAACAATTTGTCTGAAGTGGTGTAGGGTTTCCTGCCTAGGCAGGGGGTTGGACTAGAAGACCTCCAAAGTCCCTTCCAACTCTGTTATACTGTACAGGTAGTCCTCGACTTACCACACTTAACACTCAACTTACAACCACAATGGAGCCCAAAAATTTATGTTGCTAAGTGGGACGTTGGTTAAGTGAGTTCTGCCCTATTTATGACCTCACTTGCCAGTCGCATCCTAACCCTAACATTTCAGTTCAACAAGTAACAAGTAATGGCCTATTTTTTTGCTCAGGGGTATCAGAAAAGATGGGGGGAGGTAGGGGCAGACAAGAAGAAATAAAAAATTCTTATGATGAAGAATAATAAAACAAATAATAATAAAAATTATTATTATTATTATTGGAGGAGGAGAAGGGAGGAGGAGGAGGAGGAGGAGGAGGAGAAGGAGAAGGAGAAGGAGAAGGAGAAGGAGAAGGAGAAGGAGAAGGAGAAGGAGAAGGAGAAGAAGAAGAAGAAGAAGAAGAAGAAGAAGAAGAAGAAGAAGAAGAAGAAGAAGAAGAAGAAGAAGAAGAAGAAGATAATTAGGGGCACCGTTGTTTTCTACTGTCCAGGATGAGAAATGGAGGACAATTATTTTTCTTCAAAATTCGCTCAACAATTGAAAATAATGTTCTACTCTTCAGTTTTTTTAGCAAGCTTGGACAATGTTTATTTTACTTAGAACATTTATATAACCTCTCACCTTTTATGAAATTCTGTTCCCAAGCAATAATTGAAACAATATCAAAATAAAACCTGTTCAGGAGTCTTAAACTACCAGAGACTGGAATAGACCCCTCAACTTATAACCAAGTTAACTTGGTTACTGAACAAACCAATTCTGTGACATAACTCAATACAGGTAACCCTCATCATACCAGTTCATTTAGTGACCATTCAGTTACAACGCCACTGAAAAAAGTGTCTTGTAACCATTTTTCACACTTACAACTATTGCTTATGAGATCAAGCTTCAGATTCTTGGCAAAAGACTCATATTTATGACCATTGCAATGTCCTGGATAACGTGATCACCTTTTGACAAGCAGAGGGGCAGCCTGATTCACTTATTAAACAACTGCAGTGGTTCATTCAACAACTGTGCAAGAACGGTCGTAAAATAGGGCAAAACTTGCTTAACAAATGTTTCACTTAAAGACAGGAATTTGGGGGTCAATTGTGATCATAAGACAAGGACTACCTGTACAGTCATTAAGCTAACCAGAAGAACTGGGTTTATGGGAACTACTCTGGTTAATCCAGCCTACTTATCTATGAAGGAACAGCATAAAAAGTAAACACAACTCTCATTTTTAATGGAAAACGTCTCAAAGCAAATCCATAAAGACACAAACTTTCGTTTCTCAATCTCAGTGAATGTGTATACTAAATATGAAAATGGGAAAACATCCAAGGCTTGCTATGAACTCTAACAGCAACTTAAAGGGGAAAAAAATGATATCCAGAAATGTTATTGGTAAAATGAGATAAATACAATTTGAACAATCCCGGCCTTCTAAAACAGACACAAGAACTTCGATATCCAGTAACAGCAGAGTTCATCAAGATAACCAAAATCTGAACAAATTCCTAAGGTCGAGTCCATAGCCAAATTCCTCTTTAATGGAAAATCACTGCAAGCGGAGATTACAGGAAGCTTTAGTTGCAAACTACAGTGAACCAGCTCTGCCTCAAACTTACGGTAAGATGATTATACTCCAATTTTATGATATTCCTCAATTTATCTGGCACCTTCCAGATGCGTTGGGCTCCACAATCCCATTGCTGGCTAGAAATACTGCAGTTATCATTCCACTGACTCTATAGGAGTGCAGGTTGCGGTGTTCTACACAAAACGTTTGGCACTTATGCCTTTTTTTTTTTTAGGCAAAGCAAGAGGTTCAATTCCCCTTCACAACCAGCTAAGTTGCTCTGGTCATACCAAGATGGTTATAGGAAACAGGGGTTTTCTATTCTCAGGATAGAAACTTCTCAAAAGTAGCAATGCAACATAAAATTAAGTTTCAGGGTTTTTAAAAAACTTTTTAAACCATCAAGGCTGCTATAATGAATTAACGTAGATTAATTCACGTTACCAATTCAATGGGAAATTGTTTTTAATAATGCATCCGGAAATTAAACAGGCCATTTATCCTAAGGGGAGAATTTCCAAGAAAGAGGAACTAGGGCACGAAATGGAGGCAATTTTATTTCCCAGACAGCTGCTCGTAGAGTTTGGGCACGTAGTCATCCCATTCGGCTTGGTAGCAGGTGCCCGCCACGGGGGTACCCAGCTTGTATTTCTTGCGGAAGGCTGATATTTTGAAGTTGCCACGTTTATCCCCCGAATGGTTGCTCAGGATGGGCTCATTGCAACTCAGCTGCTGGGGCTGCTCATAGACCAGCCACACGTAGCGGTGGAGGCCTGGAAACGCACAGGAGAAAAATAAGAAGCCTTTTAAGGAAGATTCAATCCAACCCTCTGCCCTCAAGAGCGGTTGGGGGAGTCAAGCAACATGCCAATCGGAGGACGGATTGGATGAATGGCAGGGAAGCGACAATGGAGGGAGGGAGGAAGGGGACAGTGGATGAGAAGATGGATGGATGAATAGATAGGAGGAAGGTGTTGTGATTAGCCGGCAGCAGGTGTGGATGGCTGAGGAGAGCAAGGGCCAGGACCATTAGGGAGTGGACTGCTGCCTTCAGAGATTGTGGGGGCTAGCAGCAGTGATGAGGAGGTTCCCGAGGAGCCTGTGCCAAGTGCGTGTAGGATTGCTCGTAGGAAAGAGCAGCTACAACAGCACGGGTGACTCGGGAGTAAGGCTGCAAGGTAATGGCCCCTCCTTCAAGAAGATAAAAGCCAGCTGTGAAAGGAACATACTTTGCAGAAGGCAAAGATGTTTTGAAACTCAGCCTCGTGGACATTCCAGTATCCTGAGTCTGTATTTGAAGATTCTTGTATTGCAAATTATTTCTTATTTCTTGTTATCTTTTGGCAAGTCTCGCAGAGTTTGGCAAGGCTTGTGCTTATCACAGCTAATTATTTTGCAGAAGCATTACAAGGTTTCTGTTCCCTTTGGATTGTGTTTGATTTGTTAGAAAAGGGCGTAGGTCAGAACAGAAGGATAAGAGGATGGATGGATGGAGGGAGGGATAGGAGGATGGAGGGATAGATGGATGGGTGGGTGGGTGGATGGATAGATGGGAGGAAGGGTAAGAGGAGGATGATATGGAGAGGTGGAAGATTGCATGGATGGAGGGATGGATAGATGGATCCATCCATCCATCTCCTATCTAATCTCATCCATCCATCCATCCACCCACCCATCGATTGTATCTATCAACTATCTACATCTAACTATATATTTATCATCTTTCATCTGACTGTCTGTCTAGTTGTAAGTTGAGAATAGCCACTTTTTGAAAGGTAATGCATATAGCAACTACTCACTTTGCCTTAAAAGGGAACTGCTGGCCACTTACCTGTTCCTTTGGGAGGCCCAGATCCAACGTAGTCAGACAAAACATTCCCACTGGTGATATCATTTCCTCTCATGTTGGTCACCAAAAAGTGGTGCCACTCCCTAAAAAAGGAGAAGAGAAATTGGGTTTTCACGTCTGCAAATCCCACCTTGCAACATGCGGAGAAATGTTCCTCTTCACGGGGACTCCCCTACCTTTTCCAAGCAATCCCCCTCTTACCTGAATTTGGGGGTTTTCCTGCTGGGAGCATCAGGATCCGTAAGAGCCAAAGTGTAGAATTTATCTGGGCTGCAATTCTCCCACTCGATCAGGGTGGGCCGATTCTTGACCTGCCCAAATAAACAAGAATAAAAATGTTGCTCCTCTTTAAAACAGGAAAAAAGGAAAAGGAAAAAAAGAAACAAGGCAGAAGCAATATCCATTGACTAAGTCAGCTCTACAGTAAAAGTTGCCATTTTTTTCTCCCTCTGCAGACAGCCTGCATTTTCAGCAATATAAAAAATAAAAAAAAGCATTTCCTGTTCCGTTTCATGACCCAGCTAGGTAACACCATCAGTGATAGAAGGGAGTGGGGTTTGCAGGAAGGGAGGAGGAGGAGGACGCTGGGGTCCTTGGGGTCTCTGAGTTTGGTGGCTTTCTTGCAGACGTTTCACTACCCAAACTAGGTAATATCACCAGCGCTAAAGGGAAGGAGGGGGAGGAGGAGGAATGACTGTGGAGTCCTTGGTGCTTTTGTTGCAGACATTTCATTACCCAACTAAGTAATGTTATCAGAGACTACTTAGGTGTGCAAAGAGGAGGAAGACTGACTATGGAGTCATTGGTGCCCTCTGAGGTGGGTGGTTTCTGGTAGACGGTTCATTACCAGACTGGGTAACGTCATCAGTGCTAGAGGGGAGTTGGATGTGCGGACAGCAGGAGGAGGAAGAGGAGGGGAAGGAGAAGGGACTGTGGGATCCTTGGTGCCCTCTGAGGTTGGTGGTTTCTTGTAGACATTTCATTATCAGGCTGGGTAACATCATCAGTGCTGGAAAGGAGTTTGGTGTGCAAAGATGGAGGAGGAGGAGGCAGAAGAGGAAGAGGAGGAGGAAGGACTGTGGGGTCCTTGGCACCTTCTGAGGTTAGTGGTTTCTGATAGACTTTTCATTACCAAACTAGCTAACATCATCAGTTCACTGGTGTTAACTTAGTTTGATATTGAAACACCCGCAAGGAAACAACCAAGCTCAGAGTGCACCAAGGACCCCACAGCTCTCCTCCTCCTCCATGCAAACTCCACTCCCTCCTAACCCTGATGGTGTTACCTAGTTGGGTAACGCAATGTCTGCAAGAAAACAACCAGGTTCAGAGAGCAACCAAAGATGCCACAATCCCCCAACCGATTTCGCTTGAATAGCAAACTCATGGAGATTATTTTGGGAAGGGGCTGAGCTGCATTCAGTGGGATATAAGGAAATAAAAGATTTTAAACCACCCTTATCTGCACATTTAGCATCGTGCATCTGGATAAATAATTACATTTGAAAGGCAGTCGATTTGACAAATATACATGGAATGCTGGACATCCACATATGCGGAAGCTGGTTGAATTCCAAATAAGCCACCATTTGGGTTAGGCATTAAAACCCTGGCGTCCTTCTCACCCGGATACACCTTCCCAAAGGCTGTCAAAAGGTTATAAAAGGGTGCAGTGCATGCAGTGTATCGGCGTCCGATTGAGTTCAAAGGCTCCGTCTCGATGTTGCAACGCGGGCGGCCTTCACCCCGAGCATGCACGCGCTTCCCGGGCCTGCAACGGAGGGAAGGGGAGGGAGAACCGTGGCACCCGGGCCTCTTTCGTTGCTGGTCTCCGCCTCTCTTTGGGGAGATGCCATCTTGGCAAATAGGCGCCTTTATATTTTTAGGGCGGGCATTTTTTTTTTTTGGAAATGTTTGCACCTTGCTCTTCTCTCTTCTATTTTAAAGGCCAGGATTTTTGCAAAGCAACCCTTCGCATAAAAAACGATGGCGTGCCTTTTTTTTTTTTCCTCCAAAAGGCTACGCAGGATTCTCGGGCCTTCCAAGCAGACCATAATGCACGTTCAGATGCATGCTTTTAAAAATTTATTTATTTATTTGGGGTTCCCTCGCAAAGGACCGAATCCCGAGAGGGGTGGGGGGCGAGGGCATCCAAACGGGACTTTGCCTCCCCGGTTGCAATTGCGGCACGTTGGCAATTTGCAACAAGGGGAGACTGCGGGATCCCATATAATTGCAAATTTTGGGGGGGCGGGCGGAAGGGAAGAAACTCAAATGATCCAGGTGCTTGTCAGCCAATGCATCGAATCCTGCAAATGCGGAGCGTTTCCGACCTCGTTTTATGGGGTGTCCCCGCTTTTATAACCGTTGCAAGCGGGCGCCCCGAAACGCTTTTGCAGAGGGGATTTTGGAAGCATAAGCGGGGGGGGGGGAAACGTGCGTGGAAATTCGAGAGCGGGTAGGGAGGGAGAGGGTTGTGCAAAGGCCCCCAGGTCCCTCCCGGCCGAAGGACGAAAAAGGGGGCGTCCCTTTTGCAAAGACGATGCAACTTTGCAACCCCGCGCAAAGCGGCCTTTACTACCTGGGTGGGTGTGAGCACTTGACCGAGCTCCTCGATTTCCACCGACCCGTAGCGGACCCGTAGGGGCTGCAACGGCTTCTCTTCCACCTCGGGGAGGCTTAAGGCGCCTCCCCAGCCGCTCAAATCTACCGGCATGGTTGCACCAAAGGGACGAGTCCCCGAGAGATTCTTCCCCGCTCGCTGCAGCAAGCAAACGCAGCGCGCGAGACCCATCCAGCGTTAATGCGGAGGGCTTCGGAGTGGCAGGTTCCTCTTCCAATCCCAGGCAGCGGGACCCCTCTTTCTTTGCTCCCATTGGCCCGGGTCGGGGGGGGGGGGGGC